ATATGTGGTTCATAACTTTATCAATAATTATCGGGACATAAGAGAAAATTCCAGATTTATAAAGAGTGATTTTTACAGAAGTTCGAATTCAACTCACAATTCTGTTTTCTTACGTATTTAGCTGGTTAAAATTCATAAGAGAAAATTCCAGATTTATAAAGAGTGATTTTTACAGAAGTTTGAATTCAACTCAATTCTGTTTTCTTACGTATTTAGCTGGTTAAAATTCTTAATTAAAAAGGAAAAGTTGATCGCAGACAGCGAAATAAGTAAAAGTACACCATAATAAAATAATTTCCTTTGAACATCCTATTGGGAACTGGATACAATTAAAGATCTCGGTGTAAAAGGCGTCCAGATTTTATAAAACATGCTCCACTTTCGTACCAAGATCTTGATTTACAATAGAGATAATTTTTTACAGTATTATATAGTATTATAGTATTATAATATTATAGTATTATAGTCTTATAGTATTATTGTATTATAGCATTATTGTATTATACAGTATTATATCCGAACATTCTGTTATCTAAGCATTGTACTATTTAGATGTGCACCATCACCTAGTGCAGAGAATTTGAATAAAATTTTTAAATAACAGAATGTTTTGGTATCAGAGAATATTACAAAAATAAACCTTTTGGATAAGAGAGCCTCTATTTGTACAAACACTCGCGACGAAATAATGACGCAACGCTTTGCTGCCGATCATCCCGGTGAACCCGTTCCGAACGACCATCGATTTCTGTCGAGCGCGGAGCGCATCCACGGTTCTCATGCGTCACTTTCCATCAGCCTCGTTTTCCTCGTGGTTCCCAGGTCCGCGAGCTGGCGACTCGCCTCTAATTAACGCGAAGAGGATGCCGGCGAGCGGAAGGGCCGCGACGGATCGTTTCGGCCGTGGAAACGAGGGAGAGGATCCCCCCGACACACGATTTTAAGAGAGGCGAGGAGTGCGCCGCTTTCACGCCGGCTGCTCCTATTTACGTCGATTTTAATTAGCCGCGAGTTTTCCCAGCCAAATCCTCCGGTATCATACTGTTCGCCGATTAGACCGCGGCGAACCGAACCCGAACCGAGAACAGGGCCCGGCTGCTCACCTGCGTTCACTTTCTTCCGCGAAAACGCGCGCGTATCGCGTGCTCGAAATTATCGGCCAGTCGCGATCACGAACGAATCTTCGATTGCTTCATTAGAATCCGACGTTTCACTTTCTCCGCGTGGAAAACGACAACGCAGCGCCAGGCAGGAATCGGCGAACAATCGAGCAAAACCGCGAAAAAACCGTGTTCAAACGATTCGCTACGCCGTGTGTAATCGCTGCACAAATTGTATGCATTGTGCTTCGAGCCGCTGATCTAATTTGATTTCTCGTTACGTGAAAGGTGAGTATTATATCGCCCCGATGAAATCTTCGCCGCTCGGCGAAAAATAGGCCAGCCGTACGTGTTTCCGTTAACTTGGCATTCGTTAATTACGCCCGACTATTTCGGTTCGTACGACCAGATTAACCCGTTTCGATTAAAACAAGGTAATTATCGCGGGCAACGTAACTGCCGGCGCGCATAGAGCCGGTGTTTTATTTCATGCGATTCGTTTCAACCAAGCGTCGAATTGGATTCGTAACGCTTAGGAGTAAAGGTGCCTTATATGAAACCCACGTTTTCTTATTTTCTTTTATTATAATCGATTAATTAATACATATATATACATAATATTAAAATTATTAATAATAATAATATATATAATTATTATTAATATTTATATATATATAATAATAATAATATATATAATTATTATTAATATTTATATATATATAATAATAATAATATATATTATTATTATTAATTAATATTATTTAATATTAATAATAAAATAATAATAATAATATAATAATAAAATAGTATTATTTAATATTATTATTATCAATTATTATTATTATTATATATATAATATAATTAATATATAATTTTCGATTAAAAACTCTTTTAACGAAAGTAGAGACACGTTTGAAAAAACTGAAATACGTATTTCTTTAAAATTTATTGGAAATACAGACTAAAAATTCCGCTTCCCCGTAAAATAAAACAAAAATCGAAAGTATAGAAATTCACAGATTTGAAAAATAAGTTCCTAATGAGAGATTCTGTTTGGTTCTTTCAGGAAATTAATTTTCTCTGCATTTTTTCACACGTTGGGCATATCAAATTTGTTTCTTCAGCACCGATCGATTGCAATATACAATAAATTACATAGGCGTAGGACTAGCACAGGGAAATTCACAGCAACCCGAAACGTTGCATTTCCGGGAGGAAATGCTGTATTCACAACGGAAATAAATTAGAGTCAGATATTAGGGAGTGGTCCTCGCATTAGGCAATTTCACCCTACACATTGTCGAAAACAAAGCACGCGCAGAGAATCTGTAGAATTTGAATTCGTTCGCTCTCGTGGAAGAGAGCAATTGCAAGTTAATCTGACAATCTTTGAAACAAATTAAGGATTAGATCATCAATTTCGATGAAAGAAAGGAGAAAGTAATATTTGCATACACAACACTACGCACGCGTCTATTCAAATCGCATTTTCTCTCCTCGATTCAATCATTCCGAGTGGTTAATAGAGAATTTCTATTCCATTTCTGCAACAACAAAACGATCTCGAAATATAGGGTAACGCCCGAGTTGTCTGCAGCCGAGTCGACTGGTGCGGCGCATGCGGTTGTATGCTTTCATCGTGTCTAATAACTTCGACAGTTATCCCGTTTTGGAAAGCGGAGGGAACGAGAAAAGTCGGGCGACGAGGACTCAGCCGGGTGATACAGTTCTGCGAAACGTTTCACGACAAATGAAGATCCACGCTCTCGCTTATTAATCACCGGCTGTCACGCGGCCGCGCGTTTATCACGTTCCGCGCGGCCAATTTACACGGAAACAGAGTGGAGCGGCTATCGTTCCAGACTTCGCCGAGTGGGCGAGAAGAAAGCTCGGATTCCTTCACGGGATCGAAACCGTCGGTCGCTCGAACTTCGGCGAACGTTCTTCGTGACGAGAGAATATTTGCTCTTTCCTGGAATTCAGAAAGCGTAGTCGCACGCGCAAGTTGCCCTTTTTGCGGAATCGACTTGGATCCTATTTTGTTTTGTATTCCAATTACACGGCGATACTAATTTAGCGATCGTTGCAAATTAAAACGAAATTTAAAATTCGTTCTTCTTTGTTTATTAATTTTTCCGAATTTTTACTGTAAAAGCTACACAAGTCTCTATTTTATTCGTGAGTTCCATGGACGTTATCATTTTCGTAATAGTTTTATAATTTACAATAACGTTCTTTTTATTGTCCTAGCGGAGATCATTATCTTCGGATTGGACAGAAATGGGGAACCAATTATTCATTTCGATATTAAATTCATATGTATGCATATAAATACAAAAAGTTAGATTGTAATCATTTATCTAACGACTCCGTATTAAAATCTGCTGCATAGTGATGAATGTTTTTATCTGAACAAGTTTT